GTAGGTTTTTATATATAAATTCGACGCCGACGGATTTCTTAAAAAGTTTAAAGCGAGAATCTATATTCGAGGTAACCTTTAATAGTTATCTACCGAAGAGAAAAGAGCGGCTATACTAGCTATTAAAATAGCGAGAGTTATCTTTATCTTAGTAGTAGTATTTAATCTTAATATAATATAAAGAGACGTAGTTACTATATTTTTAAACTTAATTCTAAAAGTAAGGTCTATACTAAGTACCTACTAAGATTTAAAGTCTTAGATTAATATTAGTTACTCTATAAAGCGCTTTATAGCTTAAGAATATTACTAAGATTATAGTAGTAAGAAGTAATAAAGATACTAGTAAAAATAGGCCTTACCCTAGTACTAAAAGATCCGTATATCTCTATTATAAAAGATATTATTATCTTCTTCTATATCGATAATATTATTATTATAAATTATTCTTATTATACTAAGTAAGCCGCTAAGTTAGATAATAATATTAAAAAATAATAAGAACTATATAAACTAGATATAGACTAGTTCCTAAATATACGTATTCTTAGAAATAGAGATTAGAAGAAGTTATAGCTATATTAAGATAACTATATTAAAAGTATAGTAATTAAATATAGCCTAATTATTATTAGGAAAGTAAGATCTCTCTTAGCTACTAAACCCCTTCTACCGTACGATAAAATAGTATTACTAAGTTAGATTTATAGTTTCTAGGCTAAGATTAGATCTACTTAATATACTATTACTATCTCCCGGCTAAATATAGTAAAAGCTATAGCTAAATTAGCTAAATTCTTAATAAATCTTAGTCCGAAGTATATCGATACTATCGACCGAGTTATTTAATATCTATATAAAACTAGGTTCTAGGCTATTAAATATAGTACTAGAAATTAATAAGAATAAGATAATAACTAAGATCTCTAGCTTACTATAAAGTTAGTTAAATTTATAAGCGATACTTTATTCGGAGATAATAAAGATAGGAAGAGTTTAGAAGGATATATCTATAAGTTATATAGCGGTCTAATCGATTAAAAAGTATCGAAGTAGAAGACGATAATAATATCGATAACTAAGGTAGAACTTTTTACTCTAGTAGAAGCTAGGAAAACCGTCTAATAGTAGCGTCGAGTCCTCGAAGTACTAGGCTTCTAACTAAATCATCCCTTATCTATTATATACGATAATTAGCAAACTATCGATCTATTAACGAATAAAGGATTAACGATATATATAAAGCTACGGTATATAGATATTAATCGATCCTAGATAAAGTAAGAAGTTAGCGTAGATAGAGTTAATATAGACTAGGTTCTAACTATAGCTATACCGGTAGATAGCCTTATAAAGGCGCTTCCGAAGTAGAAGTAGTATCTCTTCTAAGAGATAATTAGGATAAGAGAAATTAGGTATCTAATTTACCTAAAAATAGTAGAAAAATAAAGGAATTAGTAGCTCTTAAAAGCTAGGAAAATGTAGGCTTTAAGAGCTAGGGGGTATATTAAAGTATAGGGTTATATACGTAGACTTATATAGTATTATACTATAGAGATTATATAACTTCGAGTACTAGATATACCATACGAAAGTGTATATTACTATTAGTCATCATTACCGCATAGATTGTTGAAATAGCGGGTTTTGTCATTTTAGAAAAACAGAGAGTTCTAAATATCAGTCATTTTGGACTATACATTTCAATACGCCAGATTTCTGTCATAAGAACTTATTTTATCCTATTTATCGCTAATTTATCTATTATATTATTATAAAATACTTAAAAGATTAATAATCTATTAAAATTTTAAAATAATTCTTTTAAGATAAATCTTTAAATTTAGGTCGCTATTCTTATAATATATAGATAATTATTAAAATTTCTTTATTTTATATCCTATATCTTATAATTTAATTTTATAAATTATATACTCTTTAAAAAAAAGCTACTAAATACTAGAAATTATTATTCTTATAATATTAAAAGAAAACTATTTTAAGTACTTTATTAAAATTATTAGTCTTAACTTTTATTCGTTAAGCTAGATTATAATAATAAAGAACCAATATAATTATTAATTTCTTCTTTAATAGTAAAAAAGCTACTTTATACTATTTTATTTATTTATAAGAAATATCTTATTAAATAAACCGATATAAAGATTTTAAAATAGCGCTATATCTCTAAATAAATTATTAGTAGAAATTATAGAATCCTAAGAATAACTAAATTTCTTTTATAATTATTAGAGCTTTTTATAAATAAACTATATTAATCTTCTTTAGATTAATTATAATATTATCTATATTTATAATAAAACTAAAGAATTTTATTTTTTATATTAAGAATTTATACTTTAGTAGTATTATTTAGAAACCTATTTTTTATAGATATCGAAGTATCTCTCTCTTACTTACTATTAATACTCTTTTAGAGTTTTATTATAGATTAAAATATTATCTATAAATATAATAATATATTTATCTAGATATTCTTATAATATATTATTTATATACTACTAGAATATAATAGATTTATTTATTAATCTAAATAGTATAATTTTATATTTAAATAATCTATATTATATATAAAAAATAATAAGCTCTTTTATTTTTAATATTAAATAAATTTAGTAGAAATCTTACTAGGTATTAAATTTTATAAAAGATTTTATTAATTAATAATAATAGATAGTAATTCCTTTTTATAATAATATTTAATCTTTAAAAATTAATATAAAAATATAATCCGCTTTTAGACTTCTTTATTACTAAAATTAAAGAAGTATATAATACTAAACTTAGAATAATAAATCTTTTTTTAAGATTTTTTATAATATATTTTCTTATTTCTTTTTAATTTATAGAGAGATATTTTATTAAAAAAATAATATCTAAGCTATACTTTAACTTTAAATATAATATTATAATTAACTTTAGATTTCTAAGATAGTAATTTATCTAATCTTTTCTTTAAGAAAACTTTTATAAGATTATAATAATAGCTATATAAACTTTATAAAAAAATTAGTAAAGTTATCTTTTAGCTTTATCTTTAATTAATAGTATATAATATATACTTTAATATATCCATTCGGATTTATAAAAATAGTCTTTAAATAAGCGATAATATCCTTTATATTTTTATAAAAGATATTAGTATTAGCGCTTATTTAAAAGATAATATATAACTAGATTTTATTTTTATATTAGCTTTATATATAGAGCTTCCGATAGATAAAAAGAGGATAATAGTCTATATTAGCTTTAAGCTTTTATTAAATAACTATTTCTTAGATTTTAAATCTTACTTTTTTACTATTATTAAATATTAATATATTAAATATCTTAATTATCTTCTAATTAATATTAGCTTTTATAATTAATATATTAATATTAGTTATACTTAGATTTTAAATAATAAAAAGATAAAAAGCTAACTCTTTATATTTATAAATTATAAGATCGCGATAAATAATCGCTTTATCGCGTTTAATTATAAGATTATTAATATTAATCCTTTTATTAAAAAGGACTATAATCTTATTCTTTAGTTCTTAGCTCTTTTATTCTAACCGTCGGTATTAATAAGTAAGTTCTTAAAACCTCTCTTTTAATAGAGTCTTCTATAATTATTCGCGTATAAAGAACGATCCTTCTCTAGTATTATCGTTATCTTTATTATATTTACTAGTATCTACTAATCTTAATAGTTCGGCGAGTAGGGTCTTCGGAGTAGATATATTAATTATCTAGTTATTGATCTCTTCTTTATTAAGTATAGTAGTAACTAGCTACTTACTATAATTTATAAGGTTTTATTATATCTTAACTATTCTAATTAGTTAGATAGGAATTCGGTTTAGTTCGGATAGCTTAGCTATATAGTACTAAGGAACGGAAAGTAGAGTAAGCTAGACCGAGATCTACTATAATAGAGATCTATACGGTCGTACCGCTTATTAGATTTAATTAGTACTTAATATTATATTACTAGCTAGGTCTTTAAATTAAAGAGTATATTTAAACAAAATATTAAGTATAGGGAGAGAAAAAAAGAAAAGAAATCTATAGGTAGGACTATTAATATTATGGGTAGGTCCTATAAACATAAGACGAATGCAAATATCGAACGGGGGCGGAAACCCCTGACAGAAATCTCTGCGGGCGGAGTCAACTGGCAGAAATCCTTCCAGATCGTCACATTCTTATCCTAATTATCTCTCGGAAGAGATACTACTTCTATTTCGGAAGCGCTTTCGTAAGGCTATCTACCGGTATAGCCGTAGTTAGAACCTAATCTATATTAACTCTACCTATACTAACTTCTTACTTTATCTAGTATCGATTAATATCTATATACCGTAGCTTCGTATATATCGTCGACCCTTCCTTCGTTAATAGATCGATAGTTTACTAATTATCGTATATAATAAATAAGGGATAATCTAATTAGAAGCCTAATACTTTAAGGACTTAACGCTACTATTAGACGGTTTTTCCGGCTTCTACTAGAGTAAGAAGCTCTATCTTAGTTATCGATATTATTATTATCTGACAGAAATCTGACGTATTGAAATGTATGGACCTCTGGGCTGATATTGAGAACTCTGCATTTTCTACATAATAGAAACTGCTGTTTCTGTGCGGTTATGACTAAGCTAGATTACATAATCTGTATGGTATCATCCCATGTATGCAACCTTGCAATTTGACATTATCTTCTATTTCGATACTTTCTAATTAATTAGGGTAAACACTGTTGGCACAGCAAAAATCACTGATGGCACAGGAGTCTAACCCAATTAAGATAAGTCTTTCTTGGAGGTCATTTTAAGTCTAAGCGTTATTTATTATGGTATCGCCATAGTAAAAAACACAGCCCCTGAATCACCCCAGCCACATAGTACTTCCATGATCTGCTCCATGATCTGTTCCATACTCGGCCCCATATTAATTCCCCATAATAATGCTCCCATAATCATGCCTCCATTAAATCACATGATCAACCTAAACTTGTTGTCACGATCTCGGTAGAAGTCGATGATGATGTCCCGGGTATCCGTGCACTCGGGGCTGATCAGACGGTAGAGGTTTTGGGTATCTGGATAGCTGATAACACCTGCAATGGCGGGAGCAGAATCATCCATACGGCGGATAGCGGCAGTGGAGATATTGATAGTGCCGACGTTCTCTAGGGACGTCTCCTTGGCCCGAGACTGCGCCATGGTTGGATATGGTAGACATAGCGAGACGGGGAAAGTGCAGAAACTGAACTTAGTTAGTAACTTAGGGTAAAATAGGTAGGGGTGCATAAAGCTGGAAGGTAATACGGAAGACAAGCCATATGGCTTTCTGACCTCAGTTAAAGACGAGCGATTAGGGCTGTGATTATACGCGGTGGGGTCTCTTTAGAGGAGAAGAAGGTTCGTAGGGGGTGGATAGGGGTTTAAATACCTAGAAGATGTGAAGTTGCTCTTGTGATAGTCAACGGCTAGAAGAAAGATAGTTCGGGGAGAATACAGAAGAAGGTTTGTGGCGGGGGGCAGCTGCTTAAATAGATCTATGGCTGGCAATTGCTTGTGTGAGAAATGGGGGAGATCATTAAAAACCAGGGTGTGGTTTCTGACCGAAGTAGCTATACGGGCAACTAAGTATGCTATCAGATAGTTATATAACTCTCTTATTGGTTATTACCTCACCGCCTAGTTTATTACTGCCTTCTAGAAGCATTTACTATTTCTATACTATACACTATAGATTCAATTTAGATTCACTTCAGATTCAGTTTAGATTCAATTTAAATTTAGTTCAGATTTAGTAAGATAGTAAGAAATCAAGAGTTAAGACTTAAGACTTAGGAGTATAAAGAGCCCGGTGTTAAAAAATTAATATCGTAACAAATACTATTTGTTAAACAATCTCCTATACATATACAGTAAAACCTGTTTATAACGAACCTGGTTATAACGAATACCTGGATATAACGAAGTAATACCGGCCCACCAATTAATCCGCCATAGTAATAACGAAATTACCTCCTTACTACGAACTTCGTTAATTCACCATTCCTCTCCATACAAAATTCGTTATATCGAGGTTTTATCTCCACTTTTTTAAGTATTCCTAACCAATCAAAATGCCTCGCCGATCGATCCTAACCTCCTAGAAAGCGGTACTACGAGAGTAGCGCCGAATCAACCCTTTACTCTCTAGTAAAGAGCTCGCTTAGTAGTTTTATAAAGCCTATAACTATCGTCCCTCGCCCTCTACGATCTCCGAAATCCTTTCCTCCTAATACCTTTATATATAAAGAGTAGTAGGAGTAGAGAGAAACCTAGTTAATTAGTACGCTTTATAGGTATAAAAGGTTACTAGAAGCGAGGAAATTAGAAGGGAAGAAGTAGAGAGATATTAGGGCTTTTTTTAGAGTATAAATTTATATATAAACTAGAAATATATATATTTTATATAGTACCTAGATATAACGAATACCTAGATATAACGAATATTTTATTATATTTTAATTAATTTGTTATAAATAGATTTTACTATACTACTAATTATTAGTTTTTATTCCTAGATAAAGCTCTAAAAGACTTTATACCTAAACGTTAATCTAATTTAACTCTTAATTTAACGTTAAAGATTAAAAATTATAGAGTTAAAAAACCTAAAAAATAAAGATTACCTATAAAAAAGGATAGAAATATTAAAACTATACTAATTTTAATTAAAAATAAACTAAATAATAATAAAGATACTATTCTCCCTAATCTCTTAATACTATTAAATAATAATTTCGATATAGTAGAAGAGGTATATCTTCTAGTATTAAATAATATAAATTATATAACTAATAAATATAAACTAATCGTGGCACGGCCCACCACCACCTACCAGGTGTTGGTGGGCCCCACCGGATAGCAAATTTTGTCAATTTTTTCATCTTCTTACCTATTTTATATCCTACCACCATGTCGGATCAAAATGAAAACGTCGAAATCCGGACCATACAGGCCGTAGATGCCTATGATCAGATGGATAAACCCAATTTATCTAAATTGGCGCGGGAATTTGACGTTCCCTACGGTCGGCTACGCGGTAGAATCCACGGGCGTAAGCCTAATTCTATCATTATAGGCCGGAGCAAAGCATTAAACCCTCTTCAAACGCGAGCAATGTATTCCTAGATTAATTCTCTATATAAAGCCTATACCTACCCTACCCCTAAGCTTATTAAGCGGGCTGCAAATAGCCTACTTAAAGACCGGGTAGTTGGCTATACCTAGGTCTACCGCTTTATCGATTCACTACCCCTAAATATACTCTATATCAACCCTAAACCGGCTAAAAAATCGAGGGTTAATAGCGAGAATTTTAGAGAATTATACCTATAGTTTAATAGCCTCTAAGGGGTAATAAACTAATACTAATTCCTTCTAAACGAGATCTTTAATTGGGATAAAACCGGCTACTAAATTAGCTAGGGGAAACGATAGAAGGTTGTTACTCCTATTAGTAGGGGTAATAACCCTACCGGTAGTTATAATAAATCAATTACCGGTATTAAATATATCTCCGCTTCTAGTTAGGTAATAATACCTTAGTTTTTATCTAAGGGTTCTATCTATATAGAGGAGTGGTATACCGATATCTCTACGCCTAATTTCCGGGTTAAACTAACCCTAAATAGCTATATCGATAATAAAACTACCTTTAAATAGCTCTATTCTTTTTATCTAGCTATAATTAGGCTAGTTTAGAAAGGTAGACTAAGGCTTTTATTAATAGATAATCATAGTTCCTATACTACTATTAAATTCTATAATTTTTATAAGCAAAAATTTATCGTTCCTTTCTTCTTTTTACCCTATACAACCTATCTATACTAACCGCTAGATAGCTAGGTATTTCAATGCCTAAAATACTACTACCGTAAGGCTAATAGTAAGGTTATTATATAAAGTAGAAGTACGTCCAAAAAACGGGATTTTTTCCGGATTATTAAAGATACCCGGAAGTAAGCTTTAACGTTAAGAACTATTAAATCATCCTTTAAATCTAGGGGTATTTATCCCCTAGATCTAAAGGCTATTCTTAGTCCTTTACGTTAAAGAGATCTTAATACCGAGGGTAATGAAATCCTCCGTTTTTATACCCCCTCCCCCCCGAGATCCTAAGCTCAGTCACCAATTCACTACCAGATACAATTAAGCGGGTTAATAGGCTTAATACTAAGCTTATTACCGATATAGATTAGATAAAGCATATTTCTCAAAGGGCTAAGGGTCATATCTAGCGTAGTATAGATACAAATACCCTTTTAGTCTAAGAGCTTAGTCTAGTAAAGGCATCTTTAAAGAAGGCTCAGCAGTATAAAGTTACCGCTACTACCCCAAGAAACCGGAAATCAATTCTTAGATCTAGGCGCACTATACTTAGCCCTACTAGTGCAAACCGAATAATAAAGAAAAGGTAGGAATTAGATTCTAAGAAGCTCGATCGGTAGCAAGCAAAGCATACTAAGATTTTAGAAGTTGAAGAATAGGCTCAAAAAGAGAGGGATTTGGCCGAAGATGAACGTGAAGCTGCAATAGTAGCTAGGTATGGCAATGGTCCAAATTGGTATATAAACAGCCATAGGAGTTATTTGTAAATAGTGTTTTAGTGTATTGAAATTGACAAAATTTGCTATCCGGTGAAAATTTGCTATCCGGTAGGGCCCACTAACACCTGGTAGGTGGTGGTGGGCCGTGCCACGATTAGATTATCTAAAAAAGATAGAAAAAGGAAAATTCTATTATTATAGAAGAAATAAAGGATTATATTTTAGATTTAATATTTAATTTTATATTAGATACTATAATTATAATTTATATAATTTATAATTTAAATTATTTTTATTAAATATAAATATATTAATATAAATATTAAATAGGGAAATATAAATTCTATAATATTAAAATAAAAAGTTTAGTTTTAATTAAAATATATACTAATTATATAATATATTTAAAGGAAGTATATTATATTCTAATACTAGGAATAAATCTTCTAAGTATTAAAAAACTAAATAATATAATCTTTATATTTATAAAAGAAAAAGTAATACTATATTAAAAATATAAACTACTTTTAAATATATATAAAATTAAAAATCTCTATATAACTATAAAAATTAAAGAAAGATATATTAATACTTTACTAAATATAAAAGACTAGGCTATATATCTTTTAAATTATTATAGGTAATTTTAAAGGATTTAAATATATATATTATTAAAGATATATATTTATAATAAGTAAATAAATATAAAATATATCTTTTATCTAAAGATAATCGATATATAAATAAATAAAATAATAATAAAATATAATATAATATTATTAAAAGAATATATAATAATATTAGTAGTCTATTAATACTAACTTACGATAATAAAAGATATTATATTATATTTATAAATAAAGAAACTAGATTTATATAGGAACGTTCTTCTTTTAAATTATAAAAATAAAGTATATAATATATTTATAAAACTAAAAAATTAAATTAAAAATAATAAAGATAAATATATAAAAGAATTCTTTTTAGATAATAGAAAAGAATATATTAATAAAAAATAAAAAATTATATCTATTAAATATAGTATAATCTATAATTTAAGTCTTATATATATTAAAAAATCTAATAGTCTAATAAAAAGAATAAATTTAATCTTATTAAATAAAGTTAGATCTATAATATTTTAATTAGGAGTACCTAATTATTTATAGAGAGAAGCCTTAAAGACCCTAATATATTTATATAATAGAACTCTATATAAATTATATAATAATAATATAAAAGTATTTTTTAAAAATAATAAAATATAAGGATTAATTATATATTACTATACTAATAAATATAAAATTAAACTAGAATCTAAAAAGGAAAAGACTATACTAATTAGTTATAATAATATATACTATTATAAGATATAAGATATAAATAAAAAGAAAATTATATAAGTTAGAGATATTTCTATCTATAAAGAAGAACTTTAAGATAATAATATCTATACTCTAAATAATTTTAATATAAACTATTATAATATTAATATAAAGAACTATAATAATATAATAAAAGACCTTAAATATAAAATAAAGATTTAAATACTTATAAAGAAGTTATAGATAGTAATATAAAAGATTTATAGTAATATAAAAGATTTATATATAATTA